GAACGGCACAGTATGCTTGGCCCCAACCCCGAACCCAGGGAACAGGCTCAACTGTGACACCGGAATGTTGGCACCTATCGGAGTGCCAATGGAGCGAGGCCATAGTGTAGCATCGGCCAACATGCGTGGTCGCGTGATGTCAGTGGAAAGGCCATAGCTCCCAAGAAGGGTGGGCGGGAAGGCATCCATAAAGGTGCAAGTGGTCGTCGTGCCTTCCAAGCCGCCAGTTGCACTGCCATTGGCCTCCTCTTGTGCCACAGGTTCGACGCGCAACCATTCGTATTGCGAAAGAGGTTCCTGTAGCACATCGACCTGCTGGCCACTGGCATCCCGGAGAAGGTGCGCGTCCCGGTTCAGGCTTGAAAGCTGTGCGCATGCCACAGCTTGTACCTGCGCTAAAATCGCGGGCAGGGTATCACCGGGCGCAACAGCGACAGTGCAGATCCTATGGCCAACAGGACGCAAATCAACGGGGACCACAAAATTCGGTCTCTGCGTTTGGGCGGGGCACAACGTGAGCTGCGGCACAGGCAGCCCCGCCATAGGCCGAAGAATGACCTGAATTGCGCGAATGCGGGCGGGTGTTGCAGAAACGGCGTCCGCCGCACAGTCCATGACGCTCCAGTCGCGTCCTCTGCGCCGTCCCCGAGAGTGGAAAACGGGATCAAACACTGAAAATCTCGTTGCATCGACACAGTCCTCGCTACCAAGAAGGGCTGGGACACTTCCAACCGGGTTATACCGGAAAGGCCCACGGACGGCATCAGGCAGCAGTTCCATGTTTTCAGCCAAAAGGACTTGAAGGTCAGTCGGCCGTTTGGGCGCCGGCTCCCTAGCAGCAGGGGCCGCAGCAGGATGCTGGTGCGGAACGAATAAACCCACATGCTCCACATCGTTTTCACCTGACTTTGTCGAATCACCTGGAACAACACCTCGCGTGCCGAGGGGCGACGCGGTGCAGTCAACAAGACGCACACGCTGCGACAGGGCATCGAGGTTAGGCTGGCCTGTTACCTGAGGTGGACAATGCGAGGCGCCACTGCGCACTCGCTGCGACGAGGGGCAGCAAGAACCTGTCCTGGGCAAAACCTGCTGGCAAGGTGTTCGGTCATCGGAGTGGGCCTGGCCCGTCACCTGAGTTGGACAATGCGAGGCTCCGACGCGCACTCGCTGCGACAAAGGGCAACGAGGACCTGCTGGTAAAGCTATTGGCACATGCAGCCGCAGGGCATCCAGCTTGGCCTGGCACGACACAGGAGATGGACATTGCGAGTCCCCAATGCACACTTGCTGCGACAGAGGGCAAGGAGGGCATGACTCCGGCATCATTGGCAAGCACAGAGGTGGGGTGTCGGGATTGGCATAGCCTGACACCTGAGATGGCTCGTGCGAGGCGCCAGTGCACACTCGCTGCGACAGAGGGCGACGAAGGCAGGACCTTGTCTTCTCCTGGCAGGGGGCAGGGGTGCCCTCAGGAAGCACAGTGCCCAATCCGTAGGACAAAACCTCTGGCTCAAGCATAAAGACCACGTCCCTAACAGCTCGCAGCTCAAAAAAGGCATCACACTGTACACGGGAACTGTACAGGCTCTCAGATACATCATCCTCAACTTGATGGAAAATTGCATCCTTTGGTGGAAGAGGAACACCCCTTCCCGAAATAACCTTGACATCCAACCAAACACAAAGCTCAGGCAGATAGTCTTCCCATTGTCGTTTGTCGAGGACCAGATTAGAGCAGACTCCCAAGTCAGCCAACTGGCACTCATAGTGTCCGCGCCGCCCCAGGAACTGAGCAACCCAGGGGCTAGTGCAGTTCCACTCGTCTCGAATTGAATGGGCCACAAAACCGTGCACTGTACTAAGTGCACCGAAAATAAGCTCCACATACCCCGGGGGGCTCGATGTGGAGCCTATTGAGGGTGCGGCTTGGCAGCACCACCACCAGGTCCAGGCTGCTGTCCAGCGCCTGCCCCTTCTGCGTTCTTCGCGGCTTTGTCCTTCTGCGGAACCTCGACCGTTCGTCTCCTTGGCGACCGCTCCCGATCTGGTCTTCCCAGCTCCAGGGCGTCTTTTTGCGCCGAGTCCACTGCTGCCTGGAGGGAGTCCGCGATCTTTTTGTCCGCCTCCTTCATGTTGTCGACTAGCAACTGCCGCTGAACCTCGGCCTGTGCCAGCTCCGAAATTTTGGTCTCCTCCTCGTCCATGGCATCTTGCTCCAGATCTATCATCTCTGTACCATCTGGATCGGTGGCAGCCTTCGCAATTTGTGCCGTAGTTTCGGCCAATTGCTGCTCCCACTGGGCTTCCGCCTCCATGAACTTGGCGAGGGCTTGGCTCTTCTCCTCCTGCTGTGTCTTCCACATCTCGCACAGTCCAGAGTCCAGAGACATAACCAGCCCATTCTCGCACAAAATCCTGCCTGGCTGCCCGCGTGGCCGCTAATTGACGACGCGCGGCGCCCTGCGCAGCAACCAGGCGGTGCAGGCTCTTCGCCTGCGCTTTGGTGTCCTCCTGGATCTGCGAGTCCAAGATATCTCTGACCGGTTGGGGCAACTCGTCCCTGTTGCGATTCAAGGCCAGCAAGATCTGTTGCAAAGTGCCCTCGGTACCGCTGCTGGCCGACGGCATTCCGGGCACCGCTGGAGAGGGTGGCATGTTGGCCACCGGTGGCTTGGCCAGGGCCTGCAGGCTGGGCACCGCAGGCGCTGGCTCCATCGTAGGGGCAGCAGGTCCAGATCCTTTGCCATCTTTGCCCTGCTTTCCTTTGCCTTCTTTCCCCGGCTTGCGCCGCGGCGAGCGTCCTCCCCCACGTCCTTTGCCACCCTTTGGTCCATCTGTCCATTCCCAGTTCTGCTTCCGCCGAGGGGAAGCAGGCTGCCTCCAGTCCTCCGCCGACCAAGCTGCTTGCCACGGCGGTGTAATACTGCTGGAGGTATAGCTCCGCACTGTCCACAGAAGTTGGAGGATGCTTTCACTCGCCCTCCACACTTCTGGCAAGTCCACGGTTGTTTGGCTGCCATCCCTGAATAGGAATGGTGCCTCCGCAGGAGGCGCTGTGCCGCCTGTAATTGCAGAGCCGGCACTGATATCCAACCAGTCTTTTCCGCCCGCACAATTGTACGAGCTTTGGTTCGCTTCCGGCGCAGATTTCGGTGCCAAGAAGGCTCTCTTGCTCGCGGCAACCGATGCCGCTTCGGAATGGCTGTTGCACACCAGGTAAATCACCACGGCAGCCCAAATCATGTACCACCACTCCACAAAGCGAAAAAATACGCCGGCTGTCCTGACCCCACAGGAACAGCTCGTTGTTCAAGGCCAGCCACTCGAAGAGGGGGCCAATCGGAAGCTACCTCCACTAAAGGTGGTACAGTAGCAACCGTCTGCAGCGGGTCAATGCGAGACCGCGCGAAGGGCTAGGGCGCAGGGGGACCTGAAAGGAAACTACCCCTGGGCCGAAACGCCTAGGGTTTCGGGTTTAGGGTTTAGGGAAGGTTTAGGGGTTGGGGTTTTAGGGCTTAGGGTTCAGGGTTACCTACACCCCTAACCAACGTCCGAACCGGACGGCCACCCCCGACCTACGTAGGGTTTCGGGTTTAGGGCAGGTTTAGGGGTTGGGGTTTTTGGGTTTAGGGTTGAGGGTTACCTACACCCCTAACCAACGCCCGAACCGGACGGCCACCCCCGACCTACGTAGGGTTTAGGGTTTAGGGAAGGTTTAACCTACACCCCTAACCAACGTCCGAACCCTCGCCGTTTTCGTGCTTCTTCCATGCCCAGCACAACAACCACGGTATAGTCGCTGTTCCAAAAGAAGCGGCTGAGCCGCTGATCCAACAGAAAGCAGATGAGCCGCTGATCCAACAGAAAGCGGCAGAGCCGTTGCAGCTGAAGCACCCTGGCATGTTTCCAAAGCCTTTGCGGTGGATGGCTCCCAGCCGAAGCTGCTAGCTCTTGAAGAAAACTTTCGGATTCCAACTGTGCCCGTGCTGCCCGGCTGCTTTCCTCGATCTGGCTGAAGTAGGATCGCTGTGCTTCGCGCAGAAATGTCTTCCTTGCTCTTTTCCGGCCTGCAGACTGAGCAGTGATTTCCTGTTGCTTGAGTTGGAATCTCTGACCAAACACATCTCTGCTCTACTACGGCTGGTGATGGTGGTCGCAACGAAGAGTCCAACTTCCAAGTACAACTTTTTCGTAGCCGAACATCTTGAAAGGCCACCCCCACGGCCACACAAGCGTCGTCTCAAAGATCTCGGACTCGGGGCGGCGGGTTGTAGGTAGGTGCAGGAGTGTCCTCTCGAATATCGGACTCGGGGCGGCGGGTGGGGCCTAAAACCCTAAAAAAAACACCGACGAAGTCATTCTTGGCTCCCCGTTCCCGTTGCGGCAAACACTCCCCTTTCCGACGCGGCGGCTTCTTCCTCGCGCCTTCGAGGCGCTTTCTTCGGCGCCGGCGCCGGTGCTCCAGCGGCCCGCCGTTCAAGCTCGGAGCTTCTGCCGGAGCCGGACCCGGAGCCGCAGGCAAGGGCAGCGGCGGCGCACCTCTCTGAGACCGAGTGCCGCGTCGCGTCTCGTCTCGTCTCTCGTCTCTCTCACAAGTCTCTCCCAAGTCTCCGCCTCCGCCGCGGAGGTTCCCCGCACCGGCCGGGACCTTGCGAATCCGCACCCGCCGCCGAGGCCTCGCACTCTCTCCGTGTCTTGGTTCCCAAGCGCCGGCCGGGTCTCCGCACCGCTCCGGCGCCGCAACCCGGACCGGAGAGCCTGCGACAGAAAGGTGATAGGGGCTCTGCATGCGGCGAAAGGCTGCAAGGCGGTGCCTGCACGGGGCACCCCCTCCTCATCCTCGTTCTCGCTGTCTGCCACAAGTCGATGTCAACGCACTGCCCGCTCTCTCCCCCAGACTTTCGACATCCCACCATGCCTGACCCATCAGAGCTGGACGAAGAAGCCTTTGCATGGCGGTTTTGTTCACAGCACGTGCATCGCGTCACAGTGTCCTCCTATGGGGACCCGGCATTTTGTCGGCTAGAGCTCTCGCTCCGGTCTCGGAAGCCCGGTGGCCGCATGCCCTGACCACAGAAAAGCCGCGCGGCTTCGTCTCTCTGTGCGTGTAGGTGTGCGCTTTTCTTGGGCCAGGGACCGGTAGCAGCGGCATGCCGGGAGGCATGCCGGGTGGCATGCCGGGCATGCCAGGAAGGCCCGGCGGGCCTCTGCACAAAAACATCGAAGAAAAGGGTGCTCTTTGCATACTGCCGCTGCCTCCCATCGACATCATCCCTGGCACTGAGAGAAGAGCTGATGAGTCAGCTGAGCTGAAGAGTGAGAAAAAGACGCGTTTCTCCGCGATGCTCAGCTCCCGGCCCATGGGTCCCATCATGCCCATGGGAGGCATCCCGTGCGGAGGCGGCATTGGGGGCGGCATCCCGAAGCCTGGGCCCATCCCGGGGCCTGGAGATGATGGCCCGGTCGGGAGCCCCATGGCCTCAGGCGCGTCAACTCGCCGCCGCCGAGAAAAAACTCTTCTCTTTCTAATCATCTCTTTCTCTTCTCTTTCTGTGTTCGCCGGGTCCCTGGCCTGCAAACCCATCTGCATCCCGAGCTGCACACCCACGCCAAGGATTCCCGTGGCATGGGGGCACTCCTGCAAGGGAGCAACGGGAGTGGAACGTGAGACCCATAACAGGGCCACTCGTGGACGACACCCTCTCGCGCACTCCGTGACTTATAGAGACTGAGAGAAGGCACATCTGGCCGGCCTTGGTGCGGTGATCGCCACCGCACGTCGCACACACCTGGCAGGCTTGATCGCGCCTGCGGTAACTGTATTTGGAAGCTCCAGCGAGGTCTCGGCCCATCTCGCAGGGCCGCTCTTGGGCCTGAAGCCGAAGAGCGCACGCGACGGACGGGCCGCTTCCGCTTCGCTTCCGCCGCTTCCGCTTCGCCTGTTCAGCTCTCTGGCCGTCTCCCGGAAGCGGCGGGGCTTTACCTGCATGAATGCCAACCATCGAACTTGGCTCCAAGATCGCGGCCATGAAATGCACGCCCGGCAGTCCTTGACAGCAGGGACCACCTTCTCCTTCTCATCCTTGAGCTCCTCCTTCTCTTTCTCTTTCTCCTCCTTCTCCTGCTCCCCTTCGGAGGCCTTTGCAATGGCGCAATACAGAGACGGCTTATACAAAAACAGAGCCCGCGAGGACTCGGAGAACGAACAATCGCAGCCTTGGCGTCCGCAGCGTCCAAGTTGGCCGGCTTCGCCTCCGCCTCGACGCCCTTCAGGAGGGTCAAGCCGCCCTCCCCGCCTCTACGGGCAAAAATTGAAACTCTGTCTGACAGCACGAAAGCAAAAGGCTCGGGCAGCCTTTCGCCCAAGAGACTTCATTCAGGATCAGCCTCACTGCCTGAGCCGCAGGATGCCGCAGGCAAGAGCAGGCAAAACGGGCAGAGAAGGATTCAAGGGGACCCGGGGACCCAACCTCATCCTGCTGATCCTGCGGGCGTCGCGTCCGAGAGACCAGAGAAGGAAGGCCGAGGCCTCTGCTCCTTCGCGGAGTCCTTGGTGCCGATGATCTTGATGAGCCTCTCTTTGCTTCCGGCCGCCATCTCCTCCGACTTTTGGACCTGCAAAGAGCGAAACCCAGGCTTCTGCCCCCTCCTGAAAATCGGCTCTGCTTCGCTCTGCTTCGAGCCTTGATGTCCGCGCCCGACTTCTCCATGACCTACAGCGGCCCCTAGGTCTCTCTGGTCTTCTCTCGCAGAGAGACCCGGAGCAGCACCTCCCGCACGGTTTCGCCACCGCGTCCGATGACCTGACGCCGAGCACACGCTTCTTTCTCGACATCTGAGAGCCCAGAACCCCCGCCATTGGCCCGCGAAATTCAACACATGCAGAGCTCTGAATTTTCGGAACGGCCCTTTGTGGCTGAGGACCTTTCGACCCTGACCCTGAACCCCTGAACCCTGAGTCTCAACATAGAACCCTCGAAAGGGACATTCAGAATGCGGAGAACTCCTAAAGTAACACAACACCCATGGCCCGTATATTGTGCCTATA